TTAAATTAAACAATACATTATACCTGTACAACTTGAGCATTAGTGTCTCTGGAAAATCATTCAATATGTCCAACCAGTATGGAATAACATGATCACTGTAATAGGTTAAAACAATAGAAACAGCATCAACTTGGCACTCTCTAGCTAACTGTAAAGCCCATTGTAATGGGCTCAACTCTCTAAGATGTTTATAGGTGTGTGCACTGTAAAGGGCTTCACTGTTACCATCCATTTTTTTCAAAACCATTTCATAAGTAGTAAGTTTATCCAAGTAATTTAAAAGTTTTAATCTTGATACTATAAATTCTTTACCTTCTCGACTAAATATACCTGGTTTATCAAAGTATCAGAAATTAAAATAAAATCTAAATTTGAATATTTTAAACTTACTTGAGTTTTCAGATTCTATACTTAGGTATGCAGAGAAATCAGTTATTTCTAAGCCGTATGCAATCAATTGCTTTGCTCCAATTAATGTTTCTGAAACTCTGCTACAACACTCGTGCACAATCCATTGCTTGTCAGATACTTTGCTCTTAAATACAGGTAAAAATATAAATATAAAATTTGTATATTTTATTTTACGTTTTACTTACCAAAATATTATTAATAGATTCTTCTATAACTGAACTATTACACCATTGATGCTTATAAACTAAATCTTTATCCAAATTATATTTCAATGCTAGCTGTAATGCATCTTCGTATTGTTTTTCCTGTATCTGTAAAATATTAGATAAATAAAATAGCATGAAATCATTTAACATGTAAGTATTCAGTAATTCAATTATACGATTGACAATGTTCAAAGTTCAAAATGTGTTATGATATAAAAGCATCAAAATTCAATATGATAGTAAAATTAGATTAATTAAACTAGTTTTATTAAGTACTATTTTAACTATCAACTAGTATATATTTGTTAATTATATATTTTTACCAATAAATACTTTTAAAGTTTAATATTACTTTTTTCATGAGTAACTGCTGAGGAGTAGTTTTGGTTACAGCAATAAGTTTATACACATTTGTTGTTGTTGGTTTAGAATTTACACTAAAATCCTTAAAAACATAAAATCAAAACAAATTTTTTTTCAAAAAACAATATTTAGTATCAGTTTATTAATTAACAGTAAACAATCTTTAAATTCCAATAATATWTTTAAAAAACTTAAAAAAATTAAGCCAATTTTTTTTATCATTATTATAATCTTATCTATTATTGAATTATAATAAATTAAATGTAGATATTTTATTGAAAATTATAATTTAAAAATACCTGAGAATTATTGATGGACTCAATTGTTTCATAATCAGCAACAACAAAATTATTACTATTATATGAACCACATAATTTGAAACAAAAAGGATTCATTTTAGTAATAACTACACTCTGTTGACCTTTTTCACRGCAAATTATTAGAGTGCCATCAAAACAACCCAAAATTAAAAGCTGAATCAAAAACATGATCTTAATCAATAATACCTCAATTTAAATATTTATGTGATATCAAACTTATAAAGTACCTCATTACACCACCATTCAATATCAACAATGCCACCCAATTCTTTTTGATCATTTACAGACCAACTCTTGCAAGCACTAAAAATTAAAATGATTAAAATGATAATACCTATAAAAATGAATAATAATAATAGTTGTAAGGTTATAGTAGTAGGTTATATTATAAACCATAACTAATAACATGATATTATAACCACAAATGTACACAAGCAATTAAAAATAGCCAAGTATTAATACCTTGTGTCACCTAGTATATTCTAAAAAGTTTGATGGAAAACAAAATTCAATTTCCACTCAACCAACCATACATTCAAAACTATAARCTATATATTTATAGGTACAGCGTCGAGTTACAATAAAAGAGAATATTATAAAAAAAAAACAGTAAAACTACACCAATATGTACTAAATTACATGCATTCTGAATAATTCATTGAACTCTGAAATGTTTAATTTCAGAGTGAATTGATCTATTACCAAATTTTAAAAAAGGAATACAAACCAGTAAATCACATAGAATTTTTTTTTGTGATTAGCATTTTAAAATTTACAAATAATATACTAGTCATTAACTAGATAATATTCTTACTCCTCAATTTGGTAATAAGTCAATTCACTCTAAAATAAATTAAACATAACAGAGTTAAATGAGTTATTTAGAATGTACTTTTTAGTCTTTTTACTATGTTATACATTGTAATAAGGAGACAATACAGTGYGAGTATGGCATCCTCCTAAGAGAATATTTTATGGTATTTTTAGAGCATATTAGATTATTTATTAAATTTCTAAGAACCTAAAAATCTGTTMTTTAGTAAGTTATTACTTGCCTTATTTCTGGAAAATTCCAAATGCAGACTGTTCGGGTTCCATATAAACATGCTAACAATGTAGATGAAGGTGATAAACTCATTTTTATAATACATTTCTACAATTCAAAATATTATAAAATGATAAATTTAAATTTAATCTATCAGAAAATTATAATCAACTTACATTTTTTTTACGCAATACCATATTAATAAACCTGGATAGAAACCCATCCTGAACAATATTTGAAGATATAACTGGATTGTAATAAGGCTCGTATGATATCATTGACCATAAATTTAAGCCAGAATYATTTAAGTCCTAAACAAAAATTATTATTTAAAACATTTTGGAATTGGAATGTCATTAAAATACTGAAGTTCAATAATGTAATAATTTTCTAAAATAATTAAATACTAATAGTTTATTTTTATAGCTTTTTAAGGCACTTCATTCTTTGCAATCAAAATGTCCTGTCCATCTGGTTTTATTTTTATACTTATTATATTTAGTGTAGACAGAATTGAATGAATTCAATATTCCATCTTTAAAAAAAAAGCATTGATAATCTTCTTCTCGACTAAAATTATCTTTGTAATGAATGATCACAAATTTAATACTTACTAATTTATTTTGTGTATCTGAAGATGTAATTATGTAAGCTGGATCTGAACATGATGTAACAGATGACAATAATGACGCACCTAGTACTTGAATAAAATTAAATGTATGTTGAATTTGGTAACCGTACACAGATGATACAGCATAGCTAGTTAATGATCMATTTCCACCAATTAAAATAAGCTCATATGACCTAATAATAATTTAAATAACATAAAATATCTCAAAATATTTAAATATTTAAAAAWATTATTTTATAATCAAAATTGTATGAGTTAAAACGTACCATTTTGAAGACCGTGTTCGCAAATCTAAAAACACCATTTCTTTGGCAAATAAATTATTGGTAGGTTGTTTAGTACTATTATGAATCTTTTAAATACATAAAAAAAAAATTAGATATTGAAAAAGTAGGTTGTATTAAAGGTTAAAATATACTTATAAAAATGCTATTAAAACTAAACTTTTAACTTACAGACTTAATAACAAATAAATTTGAGGCTAAAAGATCATAGCAAGCAATGTGACCATGTGTAGTGGCAACTGCAAAAATTGAACAATCTGGACTCCAAGACAATACTCTTTTTGATGCGTATAAATCATTTGATATTAAATCAGGTACTAAACAAATAATTTTAAAAGAACTTTTATAAAATTTATTTGTCATACAATKGCATGTACTTACTCTTTATTTAATTTAAAGGGTTAATTTATTAAATAATATAAAATCGTTTATCAAAAAAACTTTAATAACTACAAAGAAGTAGTGAACAAAGTATCATAGTATACCAGTATCTCTTGAGTTAAAAAATATATACTACCAAAATATTTTCAAGATAAATAGTGTATAAGGATATAACTAAATAAAAATAAATTATGAATATTGAAATTCAAATAACCTTAAATCACCCATACCAAATATAATAGTTAACATTCAATGAAGAATGATAATTAGGGTTAATAAAATAAATTATGTTAAGTATAGTATATTAAAAAAAATTGTTACACTAAATACTTATACATCTTACATGTTGCTTTTGCTAAAATCTTATTGAAATTTTTTTCTGTACGCATTTCCAGTGTATTATGTTGGACAACAGACAAAACTTGACCATTTCCACCAATACAAAACTTCCATGTTGGTTCATTTGAAATAAATACTTCTGAAGAAAAATAGGGAAAATATTTTAATGCRCCAATGTAATCAACGACACTAAGGTGGCTTTTCTTAGGGGATTTTTTCTGTAAATAAAAAAGAGACAAGAAAACCAAATGATATATATTTATTTGTTTTTTGTTGTTATGTGGTGTGGTAGGTACTCACCAAATCAATATTTTCATGCCATTGGACATAATCGGATACAATGTACAAAATTTCTTCACTCATTTTAGGGAAATATCAAATACTTTAAAGTTATAAAAATATACCTTTATAATTTAAATAATATGGGCAAAGGCAAAACACTTATTACTTAATACTTAAAAGGTAAATAATAAATACAATATATTAATATATTAAATATTTTTCAAACAATAAGTGCCAGCGTGTTATCAATTATCGTCATTMAAAAAGTATCTTTAATAATCGTGATAAAATGTATAAATAAATGATAAGAACATGAAAAAATTTTTATGATGAAGATCATGTGATATATCTAAAGCCATGATGAAGATCCATATTTTATT